TTGCGTTCACATCGAACCTCTGCAGCTTGTCTCGTCACTCCAAAACAAAGGTCGAAAAATCCTTTTTTTTCAATGGTCATAATTCACACTGAAGTACAAATCCATTTTGAGCACACTGGATTGATTTAGGAAAGAAAGAAAGCTCAAGTCGAAAATTTGCGTGAACTGAATTTCTACAAGACTGACAAAATCAATTTTCTTATTCGGTTTTTAGAGGGAGTGACTCAGCGAGCAACATACTTTGCTCAAATTCCGATTTTATTTTTACATATTCCCTTTAAATGACCTATTCCACTTGTAGAGAAGGTGTTGGGGTTGTTCTTGTTATTGAAAGCGGATCTTGATTTTGTGCTCTTATATCATGCGCTTTTCGTAAAATTTTGCCAATGTGGCCTTTTTGTAATAGAATGCAAAGACTTTATTTGTTCACACAGAACTGCGTTCTTTCTCTTTCTTCGAGATGGCTTCCATCTCAGTAACTAGTACACAGGTTCGTCCCATTTAGGGGATCTAAAATACACGAATGAAAAGTTGGAACATCATTAGAATGAAAAGAGAAAACAACTTACACTCCATAGAAGCACACATTCATAGCTAAGCATTGTCTCTTCGTTCTCTCAGTGTAGCAACCAATTTTCAAGTTTTTTGCATTCATCATCTAAATATATGTAGTAACAAATCCTTGAATTTTTGTTTCCCAGCTGTTATAGGATCAATTACATTTGCGAAGTCCTCTATGTCGGCCCTATTATAGAGCTTGTCAGGATTCATATTTATGAATCCTTCACGCCACCATTTCTCTAAAGTAGGTTTGAAGTCAACTTCGAACGATACAGGTCGTATGTTGTCCAATGGCAAACTCCTAAATAGCTTTCTTTTAAGATTATATTAGGCAGTGACTTCCATTCCTATTACTTCATGTCTGCGCTTGCAGCATGGGGCCAAATGAAGTTCAAATCAACTCTTCCTCCTTGCATAGATTTCCAAGCCTTCTCCTCCAAGTCGCAGTCCCAAGTCTAGAATAGAGGAATTTTTCCTATTTCTAGTTTTTCTGAAAAATCTTAATGCTAACCACATCGGGAATCTCTCCAGCTGGGAACAGTCCATTAATACCTTCAACGGTCCCACTGGCTAGCTCTCTGCGTTTCGCGTTGTGAAAAT